GAGGGAAACAGATCAAGGGAAAGAGACAGACCTTAGACGCAATGTACCTGTGAGATATTTGTGTGTGTGTGCAGGTCGGTGCAGTTCCTTCCTGGTTGGCCACTATGTGGTGTTGGGCGTGTCGCCCTTTGCGAGTAGGGAGGAGATCAAGGCGGCGTACAAGAATGCAGCCCTCTGGGTAAGCGGAGCGATGGCTGCGATGCATTGCATGCTGGAGGGATGATGTGACGCGGATGGCGCCGTGCGTGTGCACCGGTGTGTTGGTTGCAATGGGTGTGCTGTCATTGCATTCGATGCAGGCTCATCCCGATAGGGGTTTCTTGAAGGACGGCTATATGTTTGGTTGCCACACCAACAGACATCGTCACGGCGGTGCTGAAGTACCATGTTGTGAGGGGCGCTTTCGGGGTGCGCCGGTGCGGGAGCTCGCCGCGCAGAGCGGGGGTGCGCTGCCGACACTCGAGGGGTCCACACTCCCCGTCCTCGCCGATGGGATCGACGACATCACTGTTGGTACGTACGTTGATTGATGCATCCGTCCAGACGACCAGGCTCAAGGCCCTGCTGGCGACGTGCAGCATCGGCCTGGCAGCTGGAGAGGCCTACACCGTCTTCGCCTTTATACAGACGACCAGATCAACCAGCTGGACGCCCGCCTCATCGAGAGAATAGCGACCGACGAGGAGCTGGCCAGGGCAGGGATTGCCACACCCACAGACATCCTGACGTCCGTGCTCAAGTACCATGTTGTGAGGGGCGCTTTCGGTGTGCGGGAGCTGGCCGCGCAGAGCGGCGGTGCGCTGTCGACACTCGAGGGGTCCACACTCCCCGTCCTCGCCGATGGCATCGACAACATCACTGTTGGTACGTTGACATGATACACACCCGTATACACGCACACACACACCATACACATCTTCGCCTGTGTGTGTGTGTGTGTGTGTGTGTAGTAGGTCGTTGCAGTCGGAGGCCTTCGAGCAGATCGTGGGTCGCAAGGCGGACTTGATGGGGAGGGACATCCCCAACCTGAAGACCGAGATCATCCAGAAGGAGCGGTACGCCTGACGGGCTGTGGGTACTCATCTGAGTTTTCCCATGTCTGCTGTGACTCTCAGGAGATCCTACGCCTGCTGAAGGCCAAGAAGGAGGCCCTCTTGGTGTGCAGATCGCTGTCTACGTTTTATATTCGATCGACTCATGACGTCTCTTCCACCGCACTGCCTTCCCACTCCAATGATCCGCAAAGGGTATGTGACCTGTCGAAATAGACTGATCGACTCCACTGCACGTGTCTCGCGTCTGTGTGTTCAGAGCGATCGAATCCAAGGCCCCTTCTACTTGATCCAAGATTCCCCGGCGGCCCCACAGGTGCGTAAGTGAGGGGCAAAAGAAGAGGCTCATCAACATTCATTCGCTCATGTCTCCTTCTCTTCTCCATTTTTGTCTCCGCATATTCGGCCGCTTCGGCGGCCACCGAGATCGACGAAGTGCCGCCTGAAAGTCACCGAGGTCGCCCTTTGTAGAGCATACAGACTGACAGACGATGATACAAGTAGGTATACAGACAGACTGACAAACAGATAGACAGACTGACAGACTGACAGACAGACAAAGGGAAACAGATCAAGGGAAAGAGACAGACCTTAGACGCAATGTACCTGTGAGATATTTGTGTGTGAGTGTTGTGTGTGTGCAGGTCGGTTCGGTCCCTGGTGGGGCAAGGGGTGTTGCAAGGTGGGCTGGATGGGTGGATGGGAGAAGAGAGAGACACATGGATGGATCTGTGTATGGTGTGCGTTTCTGTGCCATTGATGGATGGATGGATGGTGTCCGTTTCAGGCTACGATTCAGCTGACAGACCTCAAAACGGTCAGGATGATCAAGCCGTCCTCCCTGTTCGGCCAGCAGGCTGCTCGCAACAACCACCCCATGGTCCCTCCCATCGCCCCGTCCTTCTCCACCCATTCGGCAAAACACAGCTCAAGTACTCGCTCAGTGTCGGCACCACCACCACCACCAACAGCAACAACCGGCCCATCGCCATCCTGCCGCCGCCCAAGACCAAGCGTGCTGCCATTCCCCCACCCCCATCGCCCTTCGGTGGCAAGAACAGCGTTGGCGTTGGCGTGTCGGTGCAGACGAACGTGTCGCGTGTGGTACGTGGTGGGTCGCGGGGGCCCATCCGTGTGATACGTATCCAGCGGTCAGTGCCCTCGATGATGCCTCGATAGACGGATGGACGGATGGGTGGACCCGCTGTCCCATGTGTGTGCATGCCACGCCATGCCAATTCACTCATTCACGCACCCACTTGCTGATTTCTGCCTCCCGAGGCAGACAGACAGACAGACACCCACCCCTGACACACTCCACACCGACGCGGAGACAGACAGAGAGGGCACACCGTTTTGCACCCACCCACCCACTACACTCACTAGTGGCGTCTCCTCTTCATGCCTTTCTGCCTACGATGCATGATTGACTTCTCCCTCCCTCCCTCCCTCCCTCTGTGGGCCGTCCGTGGAGTGTATTTGCACATCTCTCTGTGTGTCTGGGCCGGCCGGGGGGATCTGTGGCTGTGGGTGCTAGTCACTGAGTGAGTGGTGTGTTCTGATGTTTTTGTACATGCGCGACGATGAATGAAACAGAGCGCATGAGGCACACACGCGTCCATCCATCCACCTTTCATCCATACAGTGAGTGCACTGTGTGTATGCTGCACACACCATCGCCCCTTCTCTCCAGAGTTTTCTTACGTGGGTCTAGTCATGTCGTGGTGTTCTTTTCTGTCGTCGTCGGTCTATCGGTCCGTTTTTCTCCATCTTTTTTCTCATCGGGTGGGCTGTTAGTCAGGGGAGCTCAGTGTGTCGTTGTCGACTGCGTTGGTACCTTCCCACACCGCCTTACCACAGCTAGGTGGGTGCACAAAGGGATGGATGGATGGTCGGTTGTCTGGCAGGCACCACACGCGGCACCCATCTCGCATCCATCCGACGAACCAGGCAGCCAGCCAGCCAGCCAAAGTCTTTGTCCGTCCGTCTGTCTGTCTATTGCGGCATACAACACCATGCGCACACCTACATCTGCCAGGACGAAAGGAAGACAGGAAGCACTGAAACGTGATTACCAATCGCTGTGTACATTTTATATCAGTCAGGCTATTGCCTTGATTGATCACGTGCAGGTTGTGTTGTACACAGTCGTGCAGGACAGAGACAGTAGCATGATTAGACGTACACAGCGTGTTCAAAAGAGAGACACTTCCTGAACAACTTGCAAGTCATGTTTGATGGACGGACTTGCATCCTTTTGTCTTACGGCTCGCACGCACTCATTTCCATGCGGTATTAATTGGCAGTACATGTTGGACGTCAAGACGAAAGGCCAACGGATCTGGCGAGGGGCGGGCGGAGTAGAAACACGCTCCCAGGGGCACCAAGCCTTAGGCGAACTAGGGCAAACAACGCCAGCTTAAGCCTTAAGACTTAGCCAGATCTCGGATCGCGTCCCCCGCGCGGATCGCGCATTTGGGGGCCCCGCACGCTTTCTCTCCGCCCGATCTGTTACCAAACAAAAGGATGGGCGCGTCGTGTAGCCGTCGGCTCGGCGCTCTACTGCACATCGGAGGTCGTGGCCGTATCTCCCCTCCTCCGCCCACCGCAACCGACCAAGAAATCTCCACTGGTCGGACCAACAATACCAACCGCACAGCAAGGAGTGCCATAGCGTCGCCCTCCGCACTGCAACGCCCTCTGCTGGACGAATATGAGCTCCAGCACATTGTGGGGAGGGGCCAAACGGCCGTGGTGTGGCGTGCCCGGCATTATGAGTCGGGGGAGGAGAGGGCTGTCAAGCAGATACCCAAGAAGAAAGGCACCAGCGAGAAGCTGACGGCTTACTGGGAGCGGGAGGTCGCCGCTCTGGAGCGGTTCTCAGGCGTGGACCACGAGAATGTGATCTCGATGCATGAGAAGTTTGAGGACAGTGACTTCTATTACATTGTAAGGGAGCGGCGAGGGGCCCTTTGGCTTATGGGTTTATGTGTTTATCTTCCGTTTTGCAGGTGTTGGATCTGTGTCTCGGTGGTGAGCTATACTACCCGGTCCGGCAGCAGCAGTTCAGCGAGAGGAGAGCGGCAAAGATTATGTTCCAAGTGTTTCAGGCGAGAAGTGCCACGAGCATGACATCATACACAACGGTGGGCCGAATACGAGACGCAGACCTTTGGCCCTCTCAGATACAGCCCTGCGAGGGTGGTTCTACAGACATCAAAGCCGAGAACTTCCTCTTCGAGACTCCTTTGCCCGAATCACCCGTCAAGCTGATGTAAGCGCCCTCATTCCATTCCTCTCTCCCGTGTGCACATTCCTGTCCTGTCTCATATGCAGCGACTTCGGCTTGTCCGTCATCGACACATCCCCTTCCCGCGCGGCTGTCAAGCAAGAGGGCGGCTCCTCCCGAGCCCCCACCCCTTCTCTGCCCACGGCAGCCAACACATCGGTGGTGCCGCAGCCTGACGAATCTCGCTCACAGACGCCAGCAGACATGCGCCATCCCCCAGCGTATGCCTGCAGACTGCATCAAGCCGGCGAGGAGATACCAATGGGCGACAATGCGCATTATATCGCGCCTGAGGTGTTGAAGGGCATCGTCCGGAAGGAATCGGATATCTGGAGTGCCGGGGTGAGTTGGTTGCTGGGTGGAAAAAGCGCGTGGTTCATCTAATTCCCGTGTGGAAAGAGCAGGTGTTGATGTGGTTCTTGCTGAGTGGAAGCTACCCGTTTGATGGCCCTTCCGCCTCGTCTATACGTGAGGCCATCGCCAAAGGTACAGGAGCCCGCAATGCAGCTCCTGCGGATGCCGTCTGTATGTCTCGCGTGTGTGTCTCTCGTACGTGCCTGCCAGAGAAGTACGCCTTTGGCAGTGAATGGAAGGACGTCAGCGACACGGTGAGACACACAGCAGAAGATGCGCAAGGCCTGAGTTGACTTGGCCTCGTCTCTGTCACTCCACAGGCGAAAGACTTCATCCGAGCGTTGCTGGAGGTGGGTGCTGGCCATCATTTCACCCCCTGTGCATTCTGTATGTGTCTCGTGCTGCACTGCCCTTGTCCATCCAGCCTTGGTACGAGTGGCGTCCCTCCGCTAGCGACGCACTGCAGCACAAGTAACCAGAATGTACCAACCAGAACATGCACACGTGTCTCTCCCTTCGGTTGCATTGCAGGTGGTTCATCCAGTGGCACTGCGTCAAGCAGCCCATCATGTCCGATGGCCCCTCACCCAGCGCCACACCAAACACGTCGAGACGGCCCCTCTTCGGCATCATCGCCAGGGCCCATCGATGCGTGTGCCGTCCGACAAGAGAAAGAGGCAGCAGCGGTCTGCCCTGGGGGACGGCACACAGCAGGGTGAGGGCGGCCGGGAGAGCGCCCGAGGTTCAGCCAAGAGCATCCAGACGCTGAGGCCCAGCCAGATAACGTCGCTGTATGTTGGGAAGATGACCGCTTCCATGGCCAACAGCATCGTCGGCAGACACATGCCCGTGCCGGCCGCCGAGAGCAGCACGAGTCCGAGTGGTACGTCTGAGGACTTGCGTGTGTTCTTCGACTCGTCGCTGCCGCACCTGTCGTCCCCGCCCATTTCCACTCCCGTCTGCGGCAGCCACAGACCATCAGTCGTGGACGACAAAAGGGGGGCCTGGCCTGACATTTGACCATGGCATGCCTGCCTGCTCACGTGTATAGTGCTGGTGCAGCGTGGGTGACGAGCCTGTGTGGACGTGTGTGTGTGTGTGGAAATGCCTGTGTCCGCGACCGCGCCTGTGTTCGTCGGGAAGGTGCTGCAAAGTGCGCATCGAGAAGTAAATGGAAGCATTGAGCACCAGACAGGCACAAGTCTGTACACGCATCACTTGTCCACCGAACCACAAAGCAGTCTAGTAGAACCACTCAGCGCCGCCCCCTGCCTTTTCCCTTCACTCCCCCGACAGCGAAAATGCTCGACGCCTTCTTTCGCTCTGTCTTGGCCTTGAGCTGCTGCCTGCACCCACCAACACACACCATACCACACCACACCAACCAAGAAATGTCCATGTGTGTGTATACATGGACGGATGCTGCTTACTGTTTTGCCTTGTTGGCCTGGGAGAGGTTAGTGTGTTTGCCGACGGACAGCTGCACCCCCAGCTCCCTCTCCTTCTCTCGCAGCTTCTGGAGCCGATCTTTCTCGTTCTTCCGCGCCTTGACCAGAATGTTGTAGGGAATCTTCGGACCCTTAGCGGCCTGCACACATACACGCGCAGCGAATGCGAGTGATAGCCTCTATCCGTGTGAAGCAGGTGTGTGCGTACCGAGCCCCCCAGCGCCCGTATCTTGGCCGCTTCGTACTGCCGCTGCTGCGCTTTGTCCAGCTCTGGATATGCTGCAGCACCACAACCACCACATGCGACTAGTGGTCCAGAGAGATCTCTCCATCTGGCTGTCCCGACTCACCCAGGTCTCGAATTTTCCTCAGTGTGTCATTGAACTCATGGTTGTCCTTCGATGCCGTTGCAGCCTTGCCCTTCCGGCGCCCTGGGAGGGGGGAGGATGAAGCCGAGCCTTTGCCGAGCATCTTGGATACAGACGGGTCCTGACACACACAGACAGCCGCGAGAGTGCGCACCGCACACCTGCGCAGGTAGACCTACTGCACAACTGCACAACCGGGCATCGCTCACCAGAAACGCCTTGAGCTCATCTTTGGACGGCCGTGAAGGGGCTGCTGCCGAGTCGCTCGGCTTCGATTGGGCACCCTTGCGCCGCACTCCACCGAAGAACTCGTCTCCCCTCTGCTCATCTTCGCTTTTCACAGCCGATGACTCATCAGCCGGAGCCTTCACGCCAGCTGTTTCTTGAGCCTTCTGACGATTTGCCGAGGCACGGCGATTCTCAGCGTTGCTGCCGCGGGAGAGAGATCTCTTCTTGGTCGTGGTGAGGGCGTCGCGGGTGCTTGTGGAGTCTTCTGGGGCGTCAAACGACGCTAGGAACTGCTCGCCGAAGGCCTGGAGCCGCTCATCTACATCGTCCATTTTTCCCCCTCCCAATCTTCGGAGCTCGCACTTCGATCAGGTGAGAAGAAGCGCATTTTGTGTGTTACAGACGTTACGGAGGCTCTATGTGGGCTTGTGCAGACGTAGTGGTGATACTGGGACCTTCCTAAGAGGCTGGAGGGAGTGATCGACCTCCCAGTCGGCGCAGGGTCAAGATGGCGCAATGGATGGATTTCCCGTACACGTCGAGCTGCCGGAGGACGCGCAAACCGCAGAGCCTATACGTACCGGTGAGGGCATGATGCTGCACGGCACTCACAGGCGCTCACACTGGCAGGCAGGAAGGGGGAACCAGGGGGCTATGGAGCGCATTGGAGGGTGGCAACGGCGGGAGGGGGTGCCGCAGGGGCACACTCGAGCGAGAGGGGTCAAATTTGGCAGTGCATCAGGCAGAAACGGGACGATATTGCGTGTCCTGTCTCGGGAGAGAGGCGGCTGCGTGATTGGCTGACTGGCTGCTTGTGTGGCTACATATGGATGCCCGTGTGTGTGTGTGTGTGTGTGTGGTGCAGAACGAGAATCAGGAGGAGCGCCACTTGCGGATAGCTCTCAGGAAATCCACCACGGTGGGTGGGTCGTGAGCAGCCGTGTATGCTGCCTCGGGTCATCTCATATCGTGTGTGGCGTGTGCAGGAGGTTGGTGGTGAGGACACTGCCCAGCGTGACTTTTCGAGTATCTTAGAGGAGGTTCCGACGATCCAGCCCACCGTAGATGAGTTCAGAAACCCCATAGAGCTCATGGAAAGACTCGCAGCCATCGGTCCGTCAAGGGGAGAGAGGGAGGGAATCGAGCGGGCGTGTCGATTGACGTGTCTATCTATCTATCTATCTTCCTGCTGGCCATCGATCCATCAGGCGAGAAGTTCGGTGTGGTCAAGATCCGACCCCCCAAGTGAGACCCATCCACTGCACTGCTGAGGCCATCAAACCGTCCATGTGTTGGGTGTCCATGGCGTGGCGTTCAGGGGTTGGAAGCCGCCCTACTCGCTGGACCTGTACTCGTCGTCATCGCCGATGCGCTTCCCCATCAGAGAGCAGCATCTTCACAAACTGCAGATGGGCAAGGTGGGTGGTGGGTGGGGTCAGACCGAGAGCAACAAGGACAGATTGTGTTACTGTGTGTGCTGCCTGCGTGTGTCAGGCCTTCACGTTCCCCGATCGTTTGTGGACCTTCACCGAGTACCAGCAGATGAACGAGGACTTCATGGCATCCACCTTCCCTGACTCGGTGCACATTCACCCCAAGGCCACAACGCATCATCACATGCATCCATCCATCTGTCTTGTGTGTCTGCCGTGCAGCAACCTAGTGTGGACGTGATCGAATCCGAGTACTGGCGAATCGTCGAGACGCAGCCACAACCAGGTACACAACCTTCCCCCCCAACATCACATCCATCTATTGCCGTTGGTCATCTCTCCCTCCCTTCAGTCACGGTGTGCTACGCGGCTGACCTGGACGTGCGCACTTACGGCAGCGGCTTCCCATCGCCCAAATCATCATCAGCAGCACCACACACCGCCCCAGCCACGGCCACAGCGATGGAGGACACCAACGGCCCGGAGTTCGACTACGCCAGCGACTCCTGGAACCTCCTCAACTTGGCCCGGTCGGACGGCAGCCTCTTCCAGCACTTCAGATACGAAGACAATGACGGTGCTGGGGACAGTGGTGGCGATGGCAAGGGTGTGGAGATCCCCGGTGTGACGGTGCCGTGGCAGTACTTCGGCATGATGTTCTCGACATTCTGCTGGCACACGGAGGATAATTTCTTCGCCTCAATCAACTACCAGCACTGGGGGGCCGCCAAGGTCAGGAGAGACGACGGGAGGGGAGAGATGCTGGCTTCTGTGGTGACTTCTGCGTGTGCTGTGGGTGCATGTGGATGCAGGTGTGGTATGTGGTGCCGCCGAGCAAGGCCACGGCGATGGAGCGGCTCATGAAGAAAAGCCTAGTTGGTATGAAACCAGACACAGCGGACACAGCACCACCAACATGCCCGGCCCACCTGCTGCTACTGCCGTGTCATGTTGTTGTCCTCAGACACGTCAAAGCACAAGACAGCTGGCCAGGGCTCTGTGGGGACGGTGCTGCACACACTGGCCCTCCAGCTGTCTCCATCCCTCCTCACGAGCAACAAGGTCACTCACTCAGCCATTCCACAACGACACACACACATGCCCTACACCTCTCGTCGTGTGTGTGTGTGTGCAGATCCCGGTGTATCGCATAGTCCAGCAGGCGAATGAGTTTGTGGTGCTGTGGCCGCGGGCGTTCCACGCCGGCCTCAACACGGGCCTCAACTGCAACGAGGCATGCAACGTCGCGCCGCCACTGTGGCTCAAGTAAGACAGGCAGGGAGGGGCGACAGACACGCTATCTCTCTGGTTGACGTCTTATGGTGTGTGGTGTGTGCAGGTGGGGATACGAGGCGCTGATTAGCTATCGCTACTATCGCCCGATCTGTGTCCCACACGAACAACTCGTCATCCTCGCCGCCATCCAGTGAGCAAAGACCACACACCCCCAGTCACCCACACAACTGAATAATGGGTCGATGTGCCTGTGGCTGTGCTTGTGTGTCAGCTACGAAGGCGTGCCGGTCGATCGTCTGTTTCTCATCCTCGATGCCCTCATCAGACTCTTCCACGACGGTGACTTTTTACACCACACCACGCTACACAAGCCAGCCACTGTCCCTTTTTCTGTTCTTTGTCTCAGAGGAGTCAATGCGTCGGCGGAGCACCCTGCCGCAGCTGCCCTTCACACTCTCACTCGCCGCATATCGACAGGCCATCAAGAAACAGCAGCAGCAGCAGCAGCAGAAGGGTGACACCGAGTCATCGCAGCTGCCACAGGAGCAGAGCGGGGAAGTGGAGGGTGACGGCAAGGCCGGCGTGGCGCACATGCTGCATCGGATGAAGCAGCTGGCGTTGCTGCGGAGCCCCGACTGCTCAAACTGCCAGATGGCATGCTTCACAGGTACCACAGGTGCCCATGTATATATTGTGGGTGATGACATGGGCACGATTCTCTCTCTCTCTCTCTCTGTGTGTGTGTCAGGTTGCGTCATGTGTCCGCACACGACTGACGTCGTCTGCCTGTCATGTGAGAAAGCCCACATATCCAACTCCGCAGAGAAGTAAGGATACCCGACCTGAAAGGGTTGGCCATATCCCTTTCCTCCTATCTCTCTCTTTCTGTTCTCTCAGGACGGTGTTGTACCGCTTCAGCCTCCCGTGTCTTCGTGCATTGGTCGACCTCGTCAGCGCCCCCCTGAAGAGGCACCTGGACGAGCAGGTCAAGGCCAACCCCCCACCGCCCCCCGCCCCTCCCCTCCCGTCAGACGGTCCCGACAACAGCAGCGACGCCATGGCCATCGACCCCTCCCCGTCCAACAACGGCGACGGCACATCAGAGGCGGCAGTGCAGGAGAGCCCCTCGTTGTGCAGCAGCAAGCGCAAGAGGGACGACATGGATGAGGGATGGAATGGCAACGGTGACGGTGACGATGCGAGCCCTGCTGACCCACTCGGTGGGTCGACTGGTACGGGTGGTGCCACCAGTGGCAAGAAGGCCACTGGGAAGGGTCGGAGGGGGAGGGGGAGTAAAAAGGGCCGGAAGGGGCTCAAGGACCACGCTGAGAGGGCCTCCAAGGAGAGGGAGCTCTTCAACGTCTACCAGGCCGCCATGAAGGTACGCTCTAGATACCCCCTCGATCCCAACCGTACACACAACCATACCTGTCATCTTGTTTCCATCTCTCCATATGTTGTGCAGCTGCCGTCGCTGGTTGATATGATTGATTTTGAAGCCGGCAAGTGCCCCAAGCGGTCTGGCAGGACGGAGGTCGACACAAGCACCACCGTGACCACCGTCGGGACGGTCCCACGAGACGTCATCATCAGCTCCCTAAGCGAAGGTACACAGCACCACGGGCATCGACCCACAACCCCCCCCCCCCCCCCC